GCACTCGTCGAGCACCTAGAGGGACAAGGAAGCGCCGTTCCGCGCGGTTTTGTACGAACACTACCAACCTTCTCCATCCGACAAGGTGTGCTTTACAAGGAGAACTTCAGCGACAACAGCACGGCGTGGCTGTTGGTGGTCCCTTCCAGTCTTCAAGAAATTTTTCAAGCCTGCCACGATGACCCGACGGCGGGACACCTTGGTTACAGCAGGACTCTTGCCAGGATACGCGAAAAATACTACTGGCCCAAGCTTGCGAAGACAGTGCACCACTACACCCGATCTTGCCACGAGTGTCAACGACGGAAGAAGCCACCGACCAGACCGGCAGGACTTCTTCAGCCTATTGCGCCGCCATCTGCTCCATCCCAGCAAATCGGTATGGATTTACTCGGACCTTTCCCACCGTCGACGCAAGGAAACCGATGGATCATCGTCGCAACCGATTATCTCACGCGGTACGCCGAGACAAAAGCCCTTCCATCAGGAACGGCTGTTGAAGTCGCGAAGTTTTTCATCGAGTCCATCGTCCTCCGGCACGGTGCTCCCGAAGTACTGATCTCAGACCGTGGATCATCATTCATGGCCCAGCTGACGCAGGAAGTCCTTCGTCTCAACCACACCAGCCATCGTCGCACCACGGCGTACCACCCGCAGACCAACGGGCTTACGGAGAGACTCAACAAGACCATCGCCGACATGATCTCCATGTACGTCGACGTGGAGCACAAGACATGGGACGAGGTGTTGCCGTACGTCACATTTGCCTATAACACGGCCTAACAAGAGACCACCGGAGTGACACCCTTTCAACTGGTGCATGGGCGCAAGGTAACTACAATGCTGGACGCTATGTTACCCCACGAACCGGCAGTCGACGCAAGCGACGACGCCCAGGTGGTTACCCAAAGGGCAGAAGTCCGTCAGCTCGCCAGACTCCGGATTAAGGCTCAACAACGTGTCGACACTGGCCGCTACAACCTTCGTCGTCGGGACGTCCACTTCCAGCCCGGAGAGAGGGTGTGGGTGTGGACACCAATCCGCCGCCGTGGTCTCAGCGAGAAACTCCTGAAGCGCTACTTTGGACCCTACAAAGTGCTTCGTCGACTCGGGGATCTAAACTGCGAGGTGATGCCCGACGGAACACGGACTTCCTCACGCCGCCCTCCACGACCGGAAGTCGTCCACGTCGTGCGACTGAAGCCGTACTACGCTCGATAGGACTCTGGACTTTATGTGTTCCAAATGAGTCTTTAGTTTACCGTCCTTTTTATTTGCTTTGTTTTGTTTTTGGGTTGCATCGGGACGATGCGCTTTTTTTAAAGGGGGGAGTAATGCCGCGCGCGCAGCTGGCCAAGTAGGCAGCGCGCGCGTGGCCTTGGGGATTCGACTTCCGGCTGCCGAGCGCGACGGACGTCTTATCATGAGCTCCGTCGGAGCGGCGATAACGGCTAGCACTAGCCGGGAATCAACTGTTCAGCCAGGAAACAACGCCCACCAGGAATACAGGATGCTTCTGCCCACGCTGCCAACAGGTCGGTCTTCTTTTAATGCTGTCATTTTGCACTGCGACCCGTCGGGGAGACCCTATAAAATCGACGACTTCGCCGACGCACTGAAGCCAGCCATCAACCTCAAGGACATTGCCGGGTTTGGTGCTTACCAATATAATCACGTCTGGATACTCACTCTACACAACATGTTGGCGAAGGAAAAAATGGTGAAAGTGCGGCAACTCGTCATCAAGGGAAAAACGTGCGTCATCATCGACCCCAACACCAGGGAGAAGACCTTCAAGGTACACTGGCTGCCTACGAACGTTCCGGATGAAGCAGTCGTGCAAGCGTTCACCAGTTACGGCAAAGTGAAGAAAGTCGCAAGGGACAAATGGCGCCGACCTGGTTTTGAAGAAATAGAGACAACGACCAGAACCGTTACGATCGAACTGAAGGAAGGCAACACGGTGGATTCCATCCCCCACCAAGTCACCGTCATGGGAGGCCCTGCGTTGGTGTCAATTCCGGGTCGGCCACCATTGTGTCTCCGATGCCGGAAGGTTGGACATTTGCGGAAACAATGCCGGACGCCATGGTGCAAAGTGTGCCGCACGTTCGGGCACGAAGAGGACGACTGCGTCCAGAGCTACGCCTCCAGAACGAGAATGGCAGTTCAAGAGGACGAGTTCGAGCACTACATGGATCAGGGCGACATGGACGAGACGGGCATCTCTGGCGGCCCCGAGAGCTCGGGGACTCCGGGAGGTCAGGAGGCTTCAATCAACGCATCCTCTGTGGCCACGCACCCACCTTCCCAACAGCAACCGGAGCAGCAGCTGGAGCGACAGGCTCCACTCCAGGACGACAGCGCCACGCCTCACTCTGAACAAGCCGTCCTGCAAACGCAGCCGGAGCCCCAGGCTCCGGTACCGGTCGACGACAAGATGCAGCTCGGGGAGGCCTCGAGCAGCGAAACGACCATCAAGCGCAAGGTGAAGGAAACCGTGCGAAACAACGCAGCCGACCAACGCTACACCATCGTGAGTGGCAAGCGATGGAAAAAAACGGACACTGTTCCATCTTCCCTTAAGCCGGTCGAAGTCGGAGCGTCGTCTCTTGACAACGCATCTGCCCTGAACACCACGTGATCCCAAACCAGGACTTCCCAGAAATACGTCAACCGGTAGGAAAAATTGTCTGATTTGTTTGCTAGCTCACACTCTAGGGAGGCTTATTGTGCACCCCGGGCAGGCGGGATGGGCTATCCCACAACTTAATCATGACAGTCGTTGGTACGCTTAATGTAGTAAGTCTCGTCGCTTCCATGCGGAAGCAATGGCTTTTAGATTTGTTGCTAGAAAAGCGGATCGATTGAGCCTGTGTCCAAGAAATTAAAATCGAAACAAGGGAGCAAGAAGAAAGCACGCGTGAATTTTTCAAGAGACATTATCAGGTTTTTGTTTCGCACTCGAGCGGAAAGAGCGGCGGATGCGCGGTGTTCGTTCGCAGGAAACATTTCTTGAGAGTATGCCCTGATATAGGACATGACGATTGCGGCAGAATCAGCTATGTCGACTGCATTTTAGCGAACACTTTGATAAGGGTGATATGCTTGTACGCGCCAAACAACATGAGCGAGCGGAAAAGTTTTTTTGAGCTGATTAACTCGGTAGTTGATACGCCAGCGAAGGTCATTCTAGCCGGGGATTTCAATTGTGTTGACAGTTCCGAAGATCGCTTTCCTAGGCGGGCGCAGGCAGATAATAGTGTGAAAGTTCTGCGTTCGGTTTTAAAGGAAAACAATCTAATAGATGTAATTGAACTTGCGCGTCCTAACAACACGCAACGCTACACCCACTGGCAGGGTGATTCCAGCGCGCGCTTGGACAGAATTTATATATCGGACGAATTTGTATTCAAAGACGCCCGCTACGATGTTTCACCTGTTCCTTTCTCAGACCACGGCTTAGTAACTTTTGAGTGGAGGGCTGGCACAAGCCATCTTTCAACTCCGCATACTAGCGGGCACTGGAAGCTAAACGAGAGCCTCCTTGAAGATGACGAGTTTTCAACCATCATAAAAGAAAAACTGCGGTTAGCAGCCGAAAACTCGGCTTTTGATGCTGTAAGCTGGGAGATTTTGAAGGCGGAAGTGAAAAGTGAAGCCATGTCATATGGGGAAAGAAAGGCCAGGGAAAAAAATTTAAAGAAAAAAGAACTGTTGCATAATTTAAAAACTCTCATTGCGGCAGACAACTCATCGCCTGGAAATTTTAGAGAAGACATAAAAGCCATAAAATGCGAGCTTTTGACTCTGATGAAAGAAAGGTACATGGGAGCTGTGGTGAGGAGCCGGGAAAAACTGATCGAGCGAGACGAACAACCTTCAAAGCTTTTTCAGTTCTTTGAGAAGCAAAGAATCAAGTGCAACACTATCCGGCAGATAAGAGACGAAAACGGACAGAGCTTTTCCACGCAGGAGGAAATTGCAGACGTGTTTTACGAGGAATATGTTCGAACGTTTCAAAAGAAAGACGCCTGCGATGGCCGTCTTGCGGAAAGCATGCTGCAGCAGCTTCAAAAGGAAGTAAGCGAAGAAGTACGCGAACGTACTAACACTGAAATTGTGGAAAGCGAAATTCGGTGGGCAATCCGGAAAATGCCGTCGAACAAGTCACCCGGGCCCGATGGCATAGGTTCGGCATTTTATAAGTTTCTAGACCAGTTGACACCTCTCCTACAGAAAGTGTTCAAAGATATATTCAAAAGAAAGCTCTTACCACCCACCATGCGCCAGTCCCTTGTGGTGCTCATTCCTAAGCCGCATTCCGGCAATGACATACCTTCAGTAAGCAATTTTAGGCCAATAAGTCTCTTGTGTACAGACTATAAAGTTTTGACGAGAATCTTAGCTCGAAGGCTGGAGAGAGGTATTGCGGAAGTGGTCGGAGATCACCAGACCTATGCGATCAAGTCACGGTCAATTACGCACAACCTCCACGCCATGCGAACAGTATGCGAAGCGGCAGAAGCGTTCAACACGCCCCTTGCGGTCCTTCAAATTGACCTGAGTCGTGCCTTCGACCGGGTGGACCATGAATTCTTGTTCAGAATCCTAAAACACATCAACGTAGGCGACGTTCTTTCCGATTGGGTGCGCCTGTGCTACACCGACATATCCACCAAGATATTAGTAAATGGGAAAAAAACGGGAAAGATCAGTGTACAATCGTCTGTCAGGCAGGGGTGCCCGCTGTCCCCACTGCTATTTGCGCTGTACTTGGAGCCACTGTGCAAGGCTATCAAAACAGATGAAGGAATTAGAGGGCTTCAACTGCCAACTAAAGAACTAAAAATTCTGGCATTCGCAGACGATGTTTCTATTATTTTTTCCGAACAGAAGGAGCTTTTGAGGGCTTTGGACATAATTCGAGAGTTTTGTGCCGTGTCGGGAGCTCGTCTTAACCTAGCCAAATCTACAGGGACGTGGCTGGGTAACTGGGTCTGCAAGCCTTCAAGTGTGTTAGGGATGAAGTGGTCGTCCTCCCTGGAAAAGTACCTTGGCGTGCCGCTCACGTTGACGCCTCCTAGCCATGAAACGTGGTCGGTCAAACTCCAGAAGATGAGAGCGTCGCTGCTGCCATGGCGCACGAGACAAATCCATCTTATCCAGAGAAGCTTTGTGTGTAACACTGTTCCCTTTCCTAGTTTGATGTACGCAGCCCAGGCTATTCCAATCGACGCCAGCACGGTGTCAAAGGCCCATCGGCTCTTCGCAACATTTGTTTGGCAGTCGCCAATGGAGAAAACACGGCGCACAAATCTCTTTCTTAGCCTTCAGGCTGGGGGATTCGCCTTGGTGCACGTGGCCCTCAAAGTAAAAATAAGTCGGTTCCTTTTGTTTAGAGACTCGAGTGATGCGATCACGCGGTGGTCATTCCAGAGTCTTGGGAGTGCGCACCTTAGCCAGTGGGTGGTTGGCACATCGGAGCAACCGAAAGCAGCTAAGTGCCTCCGGTTCTACAAAGAAATTGCGGAAGCAATCAAATTCTTTGAATTGAGGTACTCGTGGGAGTATCTCCAGCAAGTTAAAAAGAAAAAACTCTATTGGGACACAGTCAGCAGCATGTTTCCAGCTCCTTTGTACAGAAATGGACTCGAATCATCAGCTGGAAAAGACGTCCTCAGGCGATTGCGCAGCCTCCCTGTTTCTCCCAAAACCAAAAACTTCTTCATTCGTTTTCACACAGAAACCCTGCCAGTGAAAACTTGGTTAGAAAACAAGGGCTTCTACCTTCCAATTGGAACAAACTGCAGTTTCTGTGGTGAGCGGGAAACGCTCCTTCATGTGTTTCTGGATTGTAAGGGCGCCTTCTGTTTCTGGGCGGATTTTCGCTATATTTTTGAATGCAACTTTGAGCCAAGCTGGGAATCGCTCAAGTTTTTGTACTTTGGTGAGGAACGGGGAGTGGAGTTTGAGTCGTTGGTTGCGATGGCCCTTCACGCGCTTTGGTTGTGCCGGACATTACATGTGGAGGCAGCGCCTGTGCGGAAAACCGCGTGGCAGTTGTTTCGAGAGAGAGCAGAGTGGACACTGAGCGCAGTTAGCACAGTACCAGACGATGTCAACCACGCCTGGCTCCAGATAAAACAACAAATTAAAAAAAGCGTCGTTGCCCGCAACGCACAGCCGCCCTGGAAAGAAAGGTTTTAGAAACAGGGTGGGACCAAGCTTGTTCTGTTTGTTTGTTTGTTTTTTCTCTTTCTCGGCTCAAAACTTTTCGTGTATTCTTTTAGTAGTGTGCATGCCTAGTAGTGTATGCAATCACTGACCTGGCCATGTGGCCGGTATGTACCAAATGTATGCTTCTATAATAAAAAAAAAAAAAAAAAAAAAAAAAAAAAGCGCGCGCGTGGCCTAATGGTTACCGCGCTTGCTTTCCACGATGAAAGCCAGGGTTCGATTCCTGGCTGCGGAGGCACATTTTTTGATGACTCTGTAAAGTAATGTTCTGGTAAATTCGAGAACCGTGTTGCTTGTTCGAGGTCGGAATGTTCTACACGTCGAACCTTCTACGCCGATTATTCCAGAAGCCCACACGTGTACATAAGGGGCTCCGCGTGGCGATCTGCATTCAGTCTCGCCCCAGCGTTCGACTCTGCTGTCACGCCGACTTCGACGCCCGCGACGCTCTGTTATTACCTTTTGTACCCTTTTTATTTTTGGCACAAGTTCGCCACATTAAACGTTTATTTCTTCTTGTTTATTTATTGTTTTTGGTCACCACCCGTGACAATATTTAACTTGAATATATCAACAAATGAAACCCTGCTTCCACTTGCTTTCTTTTTCTGTTGCCCTTCCGTGACGACTTACAAACTCGCATGTTGACTACTAATGGGATAGATTAAAAATAAAAAACCTCTCCTTGATTTAACTAAATATATTAATTAGCAAAATACAAATGTAACGTATATGTAACGATACTTCCATTTTTTAAACTGTAACGGGAACGAGTTCCTTTTTCACAGATGTAACTTGTAACAGGAATGCGTTCCAAAAATCAGAAGGAACGAGGAACCAGCTTTCGTTCCTTTTTTGAGGAACGTGTATAACACTGCTAGTCACTATGCGGAGCGCAAGCTCGTCTGCTTCTTTTGCAGTGGTTGGGGTGACGTCAGAACACCGAGCTCTGACTGGCTCTGATTGAATGGATAGTGGGTATACCTCAAGGCAGCTAGCTTTGAGGTCTACAAACTATCCTTCTCTCAGAGCGAAAGAGAGCTCGGCGTTCATACGTCGCAACAACCCCTGCTCAAGAAGCAGACGAGCTTGCCCTCCGCATATACTTGCTAGGCGCCTTCTACACGTAGGTTTTCCTTTCGATGTTTTACTAGCTTTGTTTTGAAATAAACATGAGGGACCGGATATATTTAGACCGCAATCCATGATCGCTTAAATCTGATAAAAACCTCTCAATGCCAAGATGTATGGTGATTTGAACCTTCCTTGCACATCCCTAATTAGCGCAGCATCTACACTCTTGCCTCATTTCTTTCACTGGCGGACCCCTGTGTTCACAGTGTACACCACACATCCTTCCCGTCCTTCTGATAGTATTTTGACGAGTTCAATTCGACATCGTGGCTTACCGCACGCAGTGTTCAGTCGGGTCTAAAAAAGATTAGCACAAACGAGCGATTGTCGTTCCCGTGAAAGGCCGACACACGTCAATGCGGACACAGCAACACAGCGGGATCAATATTGCCTCGTGAATGGCATGTTCTTGACATTTTAAAAGCACGGTATCAGAAGGCTACTACTATGCTTCAGACCTTCCCAGGTAAGGCATGACTGTGCGTATGAGGTCTGTTTCTTCTGCTCGTTTGGAGCTGTGAAATAACGCCTCTGATTGGCTACGATCGATATAACACCAAAACACCTTTCATTGGTTGCGTTTCGTTTCTTATGCCTTAATAAGACAGATAGGAAATGCCAGAAAGCCAAGGTGGAGTGGTGTATCGGTCAGCACACCCGACCGGACAGAGTTCAAATCCTGGCTCCGCCGTTTATTTTGGCTTTCGGCGGGTTTGTATAACTTTGATTCTTCGATTCATTGGATTAAGTACGGTTCATTATATATATGTGTGTGTGCATATGTGCGTGTGTGTGTATTTTAGTATCCCCACTGTCCCATGAACAGATGTTTCTATGGCCCTAATCTCGCAAAGTTTATGAGAACAGTACCAATATATTAAACACACCATTGTAAAAGGTAACCGTCTTCCGAAGCACTCCCGATATTGATAAGGGGAAACGCCCTTACAACTCACGCTTTCGGTTTATTGGCGAAAACGCTGCCACACGTCTAGCAGTTAAAATGAAGGCCGTGATCACGTGTGCCAACTTATTTTACAGCCCACTGTACATTGGCGCAGGACGAGGAGGAAAGGAACGCTTCTCTAGGTTGAACAGGTAGCCTTCAAGCTATACGTACAAGTAAAGGTTTGTTCAATGTTGTCCGTTCTACCGGTGAGCCTTGAGTGTTGGCGAGCTCAAGCAACATCTCAGGAGGATTCTTTCTTGCTCTACTGTCACCATTGAAGTAGAAATAAAAGTTCTTTTTTTTCCTTTTTTTACGTTTCCGAAATTAAGGAATATGTCTGTATTCTACCCAGAATCGGCTGTCCTCCTTCAGTAAAAAAAGATCAATGAATCACAATGTACTTCGCAGATCGGATTGACTGATGGGCCGGAGGTCCTATATTTTGAGTTATACAGCCTGGATAAGATTACAAGTTACGTTGTGGAAAGAACAGCCCATCATAAATACTCAGCAAGAAACAAGTTGCGTTAGTCCTCTCAAAAGAATATTGGCACCGCTTACCCCTTATTGAACATCACAACTGTGTAGGTTGTAAGTAATCTCATCCCAAACTAAGCGAAATCGTGGGATCGGTATGGAGTAGTTAATACTACCTTATGATTGCACTGCCAGTCACTACCCGCCCTGAAAAACGTATGGAGACTGAGATTGTTTGAGTGGTGCTCAGGAAGCCAACAAGGGAAATGGACATCAGAGTCCCTACCAGATCGCATAATCTCCTTTCGATTATAAATAAAACAAAAAGGAAGAATAATATTTTATTTTCTCCCGCGATTATAACTACAAACCATACAGAAGACAAAAAGAAGTTTTCAAAGAGTAGATTTTTTACAAATTTGGGTGTTTCACGTGCGAAGCCAACGTAGGGCATCTGTCACCCTCCAGTGCAGAATGATTTCTACCACCTAGGGATCTTTTGAAGTGTAACCACAATCTATCTTAGACGGCGTGTAGTCCGCAATAAGCCTTCGTCCATTTTTGGGCGCCTGGTCTTGTGTTAGAACCCGACACCTTTTGGAGATACGTAGGTTTGCGTTTTGCCCTAGAGAAACCGTTACAGTTTTGTACTTTCTATAATTGTTTAAAGTGTTTTCGCAAATGGTTCTTCCCTCGTCTGCCCTCGTCTTGCATGCGCAAGGTAATGACGGAGCTCTGTTTATGTGGGGCTCCGGTGCTGCCTACATATGTCCGTTGGAAGTGACGAAATAACTAACGACTTGAAATGACCATTGACCAAATGGACATGTTGCCAGTTTGCACTGGAGTAATGTGGGGCGAGGCAATTATAGTAGGGAACTGGACACACTTATCGCAATCTTGAGCAAGGGGAAGAAATGGTAATCATTATCCCTTGCTCGCACGCTCCTAGTTCACCTCATTAGCGCCCGAAATGGCACCTAGTCATTTTGAAATCTCCGTCGTCTGCGACAACCAAGGCGAGGCATCATTCGGCTAATTAGGCATATGGGCTAATTTCGGATAGATTTGGGCTAATTTCGGACTGGCAAACATCCTCTTCTGCTGGAGACATTGAAAGAAATATTGTATTCTTTACGGTGCTCTGGTACGGTGACCCCGTAATAGCGCCAAACTGAAGGGAGGTCAGATTGCTAACCAAAGCGTAATAGCAGGTGAACCTCATGACCAAACGCGGCTGACTTCATCAAATGAACCCAACATCGCAATGATTGCACTTAATTCATTTAAATGACTCCTACGACCAATACATCTAGAAAGCAAGGCTTTTATTTTCCGAATATAGAACAAAGAACATAGTTTTATTTGAAGAAAATACATTTCTGAATGTACAGTAGCGAGCCGGTGAAAGCCTCAAGGGCTTGTGAACCTGGCTCGGCAGGTGGCGATACAAAAGAAGAACATATTGTAGTAAGGTACGTTCCAAAGAAGTGTAAAGTTGTATTTGACTTTCAATATTTACACTTTTTCGGAATCACAAGGTCAATTTGCAAGGCCAGAAAAACAAATTCCTTGGTACACATGAAAAAAAAAAAGCTTCACCTCACAGTTTTAAATTCCGTAATCTTTCCTAAGCTTTTGCCTCGAAGTCATGGATTCAAAGAATGCCGGTACACAGTAACAAAAAGAAGAGTGTAAAAGGGTGCATCGTTACACCCTTTGTCCCATATAATACACCCCAAAACTTCAATTCGACATACCGCGCCCTATAGTCAAACAGGCGGCCCCAAATTTTACGAGGGGCTTGATAGCCGTGTGGTACAACTTAATAAAATAACTAATCTAGGTGTTACTGAATACAAAATAAAATCGGGGTTTTCTTGGTCCTACTGTAAAAACTCAGTGTTTTCTTTACGTGGTCTTTGATATGTACTTTAGCTATTTAAAAAGTTGTATCTCACCGCTAACAAAAACAGACCTCTGAACCCCGGTATGTACAGTTTAGAACAGAAGACGTCATGACTTATGCTGTCAAATGCTCTCGAGACAACCAAAAACACTGCAGATGTAAACACACTGTTATAGAAACCAGTACTCAGGAAATCTCCAAAATCTTCCAATAAAGCCTGAGTACCCCGCTCTCCAGCAAAACCATACTGACGATCGGAAATTAAGTCGAACCTTAGAGAGAAACTAGCTATTGCCCTTAAAACGTGTTTTTCCAGCAGCTGCGAAATATATAGGATTGAAAGGGGACAATAGCTTTTTGAAATCATTCGCCACCCCTCCTTTGTGGAGCGGTTCGACAATAGCAGTTTTCATTTCCACCTGCCATTTTCCAGTTGCAGTTATATCGTTCAGCAGAACTAGAAGTGCATTCTTAAGTTTTTTCAAAATTTCTACGCAGATC